TATATTAATACATTTTGTCCTCACTTGTATCACAACTCTGAGTTTCATGCCCAATGGAATCGTCAGGTGCTCACTGAAAATGTTTATTTCTTATTAATATAAATTGAAAATATATATTTCTTATTAATATAAATTATAAGAAATATGAAAATTTCACTAGAAACAGGGAAAAGAGTACTGAACTGTTACATGATATCGTTCCTTCTGTATGGCAGTGAGTGCTGGATGATCTCCTCAAAGATGAAGAGGAGACTTGAAGCAACAAAAGAAAAAGGGTACTGAGGATACTGTGGCCCAAACATGTGAGCAATGATGAAATTTTGGAGAAAATGGAAACAAAAAAGAAACTAATACTTCAAGAAGAGACAGTTGAAGTTTCTGGGACACATAATGAGGAAGGAAGGCTTGGAAAATCTGATACTCACAGGATAGATACAGGGCAAGAGGGAGAGAGAAAAATAATGCCTATGTCCTAAGGGGACACATCACATAATGAAGATGATATAAATACTTGTTACAATATAAAATGATTTCATTTGCCTTGATGAAGTTCTCCAGAGGATGAAACACATTTGGAGAAAATGGAAACAAAAAAGAAACTAATACTTCAAGAAGAGACAGTTGAAGTTTCTGCGACACATAATGAGGAAGGAAGGCTTGGAAAATCTGATACTCACAGGATAGATACAGGGCAAGAGGGAGAGAGAAAAATAATGCCTATGTCCTAAGGGGACACATCACATAATGAAGATGATATAAATACTTGTTACAATATAAAATGATTTCATTTGCCTTGATGAAGTTCTCAGAGGATGAAACACATTTGGAGAAAATGGAAACAAAAAAAACTAATACTTCAAGAAGAGACAGTTGAAGTTTCTGGGACACATAATGAGGAAGGAAGGCTTGGAAAATCTGATACTCACAGGATAGATACAGGGCAAGAGGGAGAGAGAAAAATAATGCCTATGTCCTAAGGGGACACATCACATAATGAAGATGATATAAATACTTGTTACAATATAAAATGATTTCATTTGCCTTAACTAAGTTTTCTTTTCGTTTTTATTCATACAGCATTTTTCCTTTAAGACTTCATCAGACTAAGTTTATGTTTATATTGATGCAACTACACATCACACAAATGAGAGATATTGGAAAGTTTAAATCTAAAAATAACTTCTCTTTTAATATGTGTTTTGGGTATATAATCTAGAATAATCTAGAATTTCTTGAATCTAGTCCTTTCTAAAATATTTTACCTAAACAATCATCATACTTCCGGTATATAGGTGATGCTCTTTCCCTGTGGTACTGATTTACTTGATTTTGTAAAAAAACCAAAGTCGAACATACAACATACAACAGAATTTACACATGAAACAGAAAGAAACAATACTTTACCTTTCCTAGATATCATGCTACATTGCATCAACAGAAACTTAAAATTTAGTGTTCACCTAAAATCAACTAATAAAAATGATCTCATAAATTTCTATTCCCATCATAACAACAAAATAAAATCCAGAATAATCATTGGATTCTATTTAAGAGCACTCAGAATTTTCAGCCCTCAGTATTTACATGAAGAGGAGAAAGATATTGAAAATACTTTCAAGCTCTTTCAATACCCTATTTCATATTCAATATGAAACAAAAGTCTCATAAAATATTTCAAGATAGAAAAGTGGTCCTTCCTGACAAAGCTAACAAATCAAAATATATTGTTCTACCCAACTCTATCACAACTACAAATGAAAAGAATTTATCTAAACTCAACATCAAATTTGTCACAACTACATCTAAAATTATAGAAGACTTAACTGATACAAAACAAAATAATAATAAGCTAAACCTTGAAGGAGGAATTTACTCTATCACCTGTAATAATTACCACAAGGATAACATCAGGAAAGCCACAAAGAATCTAAATAAAAGACTATATGAACACAAAAGGGATCTTTTACAAAACAACACATTAAATGCATTAGTTGCTCACTGTAATAAGACTGACAACAATTTTTATATAAAAATGCTACTCTAATTAAAAGAGAAAACAATTTGTTAAGATGAAAATGTATAGAACGTGTTTTAATCACTAGATCATTTACAGTAAGTTGACATCCAGGTTCTTACAACATTTCACCATTCTTGACAGATCTTCTATTATCACAATGTGATAAAACATAAACAAAAAGAAAAATGAATAAAATTGGCTAGATTATATACCAAAAAACACAAATTATTTTTGAATTTAAAATTCCTAGCATCTTTCTTAGACTGATTGCCAACCAATGCTAGAGTGGCCTGTCTACTTTGCAATTTATCGAATAACTAGAAAACAAAGAGATGGATTTGTGCCATTCTGAATGGTATGAGTGAGGAATTGACAGAATTATAACAGACTAGCCTGAAATTATTAGAGATACCAGAGGCTACAATGCATAAAATATGGTAAAAGCAAGAAAATAGGTCCAGAATAAATCAATGTAAATATATATATATATATATATATATATATATATATATATATATATATATATATATATATATATATATATATATATCTATCTATCTATATATATATATATATATATATATATTATTTCTAATATATTTTAGTGGATACACATGTTTGAGTAGATAACCTATTTTTTTAATGTGAATTAATCTACCAACCTATTTGTTTAAGAATCTTAGTAAAGAAAATTTGTTCTTCACCAGTGTTTGAATCAGCAGTTTTCAAGTTTTGCCACTGATTCTCAACTGAATTCAGGTCTGGGCTTTGACTGGCCATTCTTTTTTTGTTTTTGTTTTTCAACTCAATCAAGGTGGGAATGCCATTAGTATGCTGGGGGTTACAGAGAGTGAAAGCAAGAGAAAATACTGAGTATAGGGAGGATTGAGGAAAAAACAAAAGATGAACGGGATTCAAGAAGATGAGAAATGATGATTGACATTGCATTTAAATTTTTGAAGATTGTAGTCATCAGGGAAGCAAGTAAATGGAAGAGAGTTCAACTGGCAGGAAGTGCAAGAAAAGAAACTGTTGAATTAGAAGAGGCAGTTACATTTAATTATTTCAACAATAAACTGGTGGTACCTCGATGCCAATCTAATTAAATTCATGTATTCAGAGCACCAGGAAAAAAAGCCTGTCAGAACAGTTGTCATGAAAATATTTGTAGAAAAGACGGAAGGAAGCCATGTTACATCGGTGAGAAAGTGACTGAAGTCGAGATGCCAAGTCAGGATTGAATACATACTCAGTAACCCTTTGCATCTTGTGGCGTTTTTGTCTTGCGTGGGGTGAAATGATTAAAAAAAATTTCATTGTTCTTAATTTTATTGTATTTTATTTTTCTTTCTCTCTTTTATAGATAGATCTATTTTATTTCATGCAACGTCTCTGCCTAAATTCTGAATTTTTATTTACATCTTATTTTCATTTTTTATTTTATTTTATTTAGTTTTCCTTAGTAGGAGTAGATAGTTTTGCTTATCATTTGGTTCACGCCCCTCTTCACTCTTTTGAAAAGAGTAGAGGTTATTCCTGTGTTTCTTCTTTAGAATAGGTTTTCCGGTTGCTTCTAAAGTCTACGCCAACACTATACTTCTAATGTCTCTGCCTAAGCTCTAAAATTTTATTTTCCTATTTATTTATTTTTCCTCAATAGGAGTAGATAAGTTGCCCAGTTCACACCCTCCTCAATCTTTTGAACAGGAGTAGAGATTTAATCCTGTTTAGAATTGGGTTTCTGGTCCCTCCTAAGGTTTTTTTTTTGTTTTTTTTCATTCTCTTTCACTTCCAGTAGCTCGTTTCATCTTAGTGGCATTATCAACTTGGGGTGTATTGTTTAAAAACTATTTACATTATTCAGACTATTGTCCTCCTCTTTGTCGCCATATTTATTACAACATTTTGGCCATTGTATGTTCTGGCCTTCTTCAGGTGGTTGGAATGTCGAACTGAACCCTTTATTTCGCTCACTTTATTTCTAGACTGTTCTAGTTCCATGTACCATGTCCTGTCACTGGATCTAACTAACACCTTTATCCACTGTGCCATGTGTCCTTGGAGACATCTGTGTCTGAATTTCTGGGTATTATAAACCTAATGTCTTCAGCAACCATTTTTTACCAGTGATCATATTGGAATTTTTGCTGTTATCATTACATGTATTTTACCAATAGTCCGAATAATGTAAATAGTGTATATAATACCTCATCTCAGAAATATAGACAGATTTTCTGCTCACTTGAAAATGATGCACTATTCTGGGTTGTATAAAGTAATATATGTAAATTTGTTGTGTACTCTGAGAAAATGTATAAAAATTTAAGGGTAATGAATCCTTATTCAAAGCACTTTGGGTGTATATATATATATACATACATATATATATATATATATATATATATATATATATATATATATATATATATAGTCATCCACAGATAGACTGTTTTGCTGTATCATAGCTCATCAGCTAGACATCCGATTGATTCAAGCTGGGATCGAAACCTGACTGATTTGGCATCATCAGTCAGAGATTCTACCCCCAAGCTCTATCGTTGCATTGCAGAGAGGAAGGGAAATTTTAACGTTTTTACTATGCAAAAGACGTCAGTAGCTAGGAGAGCTCGATTCAAATAGAAGAGCATTGCATTAGCAGCCACTGTTTATAAAATTCCCCTCCTCTCTCTGAGAGCTCAATCAAATTATTTTGAGAGCATAGACAGACAGACTATTTGGCTGTATCACAGCTCATCAGTGTGGCTAGACATCTGATTGCTTCAAGCCAGGATTGAAACCCAACCAATTTGGTATCAGTCAGAGATTCTACCTTCAAGCTATCATCGCATGGCAGAGCAGAACAGAAAGAGGGAAATTTTAATGTTTTTACTATGCGAAAGATATCAATAGCTAGGAGGGTTTGATTCGAGTAGAAGAGCATAGCCTTATGGGTAATAAAATATTTTTCTTGTTTCTATTTCAGATTTGTTTGCCTCACAAAAGTATAAACCACATACATCTCAACCAGGCACAATCCCGAAATCACCACGACCAAGCTGCCCCTATCCTGGAGAATCAGGAACCTTGTCCAAGATTTTATATAAGCCAAATGCCGGCCGAATGCCTGATTGCAGCCAGTGGATCTGCCTGAAGCCAACACCTGCAGACAATAGCAGTAACAACTCCTCTCATTCCAAGCCATGCAAACCACCAGAGGCCAGGTGCTCCACCTTTGACCCCAACCAATTACCCTCAGGATCACAGCCCCAACCTTATCTCGACTATCTGGGTGGCCATGTTGCCCTCCCAGAAATCCCTACCCAGTCCTCCCATACTAATAAATATCTCACTCACATGTCAGACTCACACAGTAATTCAGCCCACAGAGTGTAAAGACATTTCAATCTCATTATAAGCATCAGATTGTTGATTATGGTTTATTATGATGATATTATTCATAATAATGATGATAATAATAAAAATATAATATTACTACTAATAATAATAATAATAACAAATAATAATATTACTAATAATATTGCCATACGCCCCGTTAGATCACTGCATAGTTTTATATTTAATGGAGTTATTATTTTATATTGCCAGTTCCATAGAAAATGTGTTTCTTTTTCTCTTTCTTTCCATATGATCACCAACCACCTCAGTCGGTAAAGTATTTCTTCAAACCAAAACAAAATATTGGAGTACTATATATATATATATATATATATATATATATATATATATATATAAAACAAGCTGTGTTTTTATTCTTTGGGTGAATACAAACCATCCATTCAGTGTCATGTCTTTGGAATGATGAAATTAAAAAGTTATTATCAAAGGTTATTCACAATCAATATTTCAACTATTGCCTAATAAATTCTGAGGTTGATAAGCTGATGAGGGAAACTGGGAAATTTCTTTCAAAATGGACACCAAAGTAATCAAAAAATTAATGACAATGCTTCATCTAAGAAATTTCTTTCAAAATGGATCTTAAAGTAGTCACAAATTAATGACTGTGCTTCATCTAAGGAATTCTATCAACTGAAATCTATTATATCTATAGCTAGGTAAAAACAAGCAACAAAAAATAAGAGGAAAGATAAACCAGTAAAAAATTAAGAAGGAGGCTTCATCTAAGAAATTCTATCAACTCAAATCTGTTATCTCTATTACTGGATATAAACAAGCAACAAAAAATAAAAGGAAAGATAAACTAGTAAAAAAATTAAATACAAGGCTTCTGCAAAGACATGCTGACAACTAAAATATATTTATTTCATTACTAGATATAAACAAGCAACAAAAAATATGACAAAGATAAACTAGTCAAAATTAATGACAATTCTTCATCTAACTACACAAAACTATTACACCTGTAGCTATTACTTTTTATAAACAGGCAACAAATGAGTGGAAAGATAAACTAGTAATAAAAAGCAGTCTTTATTCTTTGAGTGATATGTAAACCATCCATTCTTTAGAAATATGAACATGTATGGATAAAAACTTATTCATATAAGTAGAGATGAATATTTCAACCACTGCTTAAAAATCTCTTGGGTTGACAGGATGATGAAGAAATCCAGGAAATTCCTTTCAAACTGAATTTTCTTTCAAACGTATCATTTACTGAATTTATAAATCATGTATCGGCTATAATTTATTGTCTTCATAGAAGAATGCAGATTTAGATTTAAAAAAAAAAACAAACAAAATAAATAAATACACTAGAAGACAAACTAACAATATATTAAGGGTAAGGTTTCATCTAAGATATTCTGGTAAGTCAAATCTGTTATATCTATTATTAAGTATAAACAAGTAAGAAAAAATAGGAGGAAAGATAGACGAGTCAAAAATAAAAACAAGTCTTAATCTAAGACATTCTGACATCTCAAATCTATTACTAGGTATAAATAAGTGACAAAATTTGGATGAAAGACAAACCAGTCAAAAAATTAAGAACAAGGCTTCATCTAAGATGTTCTGGTAAGTCAAATCTATTATATCTATTAATATAGGCATAAATAAGCAACAAAAAAAGAGGAAAGACAAACTAGCCAAAAATTAATGACAATGCCTCATCTAAGAAATTCTGTCAACCTAAATCCATTGTATTTATTACTACATATAAACAAGCAACTAAAAATAAAATGAAAAAATAAGGACAAGGCTTCATCTAAGAAATTCTGGCATCTCAAATGTATTATATCTATCACTAGGTATCAAGAAGCAACAAAAAATTAGAGGTAAGATAAACTAATCAGAAATAAATAATAATGCTTCATGTTAGAAATCTAATAAAGAACTAAAATTAAAGGAATTCATTCAAAATTCTGTGGCCATGAAAAATTAAGGTGAAAAAAATATCCTGAAAACTGAGGGAAATTGTTTGAGGAAATTCTTTCTTTTTTTTGCCTAAAAATTACAGATGCTTTTTATTGATGTGATGTTGCTAGTATCAGGAGGAGACAACTTTACAGCAACATACCTGCTATGATAAAAATAGTTCAAACATTATCTTTGATTTTTCTTAATCAGAAATTCTAGGATGACTTATATTTTTTAGGATCATTTTAGACCAGTATCATCATCTTTGTTGTTCTTTATCAAAAGGTCCCAGCAGGTCGAAATAAGGATGCCAGAAATATAATCATTCTCACCTAAAGATGAGTAAGGAAATAAATTGTTGAAAATAAAAAAATATGGTAAGTAACAGCAAAGAAAATATCCTTAGTTAATAATTATTTATAGTACTAACAGGAGTGGATGTGCAAATATTGTAAGGGTCATTCAGCACAAAATGTGAAATCAGCGAGCCAAGTTCAAGTTACGCACTACCCAGTTACATTCACTTTCATACTAATACCCTTTGTAAAGGCATGAATCTGTCTCTTCTCCTTCATAGCTGGAGAGCTATGGGTTAAATAACAAGATAGACTGGGCTCTTTAGCCTTGGATGTTAATGCATCAAAAATAAGCAAAACTCTGAATTCTAAACTGTAGAGGTGGCAACTAGAAGTCACTCTACTGTCTTTTTGAAGAAATAATGAAAATTCACAAATAATAAAGAAAAGGAAGCTGTGGAGAACCATTATTGTAGTAAATGAAATCGATGAGCCAATTTCAAATTCCAGCTCTGTTGCAAGTAACTGAGAAAGGCCTCAATCTATGTCTTCTTCTCAAGGGTAGACTGGCTCCGTAGATTTGGTGGCAATCTAAAAGAAGAACTCTGACTGCAGAGAAGAATGGAAACCACTCTATACCATTTCCAAGAATTTATGGTAATTGACAGATAATAAAGAAAGGGAAGCTATGGAGAGCCATTATTTTCTTTGTACTGAATGGAAATGACATTTATAAAAAAAATATTTTTGTACTAGTAATAGTATTAGTAACTATGCTTTTCACTCAGGTTGGTAATTTCTAAATTTTAAATTCAGATCTTATCTAAAAAACCTGCTAGACCAACGGCACAATTTAATTTCCTTGTGGATAGAAACTTCAGAATTTGCCTCTTTTTTCTTTTTTTCAAAATTGGTTTATTAACCTCAGAATTTAAAGGGAGATAAAAGAAATATGAAGGCTTCTTATGTACTAAATTTCCCATCCTCATGAAAGACGTACTGACCTCGGCACAAATTTTGACCTGCAAAATTTAAAAAAATGGATAGACATAAAATTAAGTAAAAAAAAAAAATATGTAGCCTTTGTCTTGTAGGATGTATGGTAAATTTTTAGATATATTTCAGGGGTAAAAAACGTCTTTTATTTTGATGCTGTTGGGAAATAGAATAAATAATATTTATACATTTATAATTTAAAGAAAAAAGTCCAAATGGGTCAGGTTGGGGGGGTCTTTTTTTCAGACTTTTAAAATGTGCAGACTAAAAAATGAAAACTTAAGACCAGATTTTTAAAAAAAAGGAAAGGAAAAGAAATCTTTGACAAATAACAGGAAATTATTTTACAAGCACTGTAAAGTAATGTTTCTTCTCTTTCTCCTTTACTTTTTTCCCTTTTTTGTGGTGGGGTGATATTCCAGGACATGATACACATTCTTTGCATTTTATCATGACAGTGTGACAGAAATTGTTCAATGCATTTTTAAACTCATCATCTGATTGCAAGGCACGAGGAAAATATATTTGATGTTTTCAAGAATTTGTTTCGAAGATACTTGTTAAATTTGACATTCTCCCACGCCACCTGGTAATAAGATTTGATAATCTATCTGATGAATTTATTCAGAAAAAGATCATTGTACAAGTTACATAATCCATAATGTCTGGAAAAAATGTTTACAGGGTAGGATTGTAAGCATGGGGGCCTACATTTAAAAGCCCAATGCCACTAAATTTTGAATTTTTTTATATTAATCAAAAAGACTCTTTGAATGTTTTGTTTTTTTTATCTTGTAAATTTATGTAATATCAAAATATTTAAAGATGGCATCATCTTATTATTTTTCATTTATTAATCTGAAGACATGAAAATAGAATTATTGACTTTCAACTGTTATCTGAATTTTTAAGATAAATTATTTTCAATACTCTGCAAATAATTCACACTACCATATCTGATTGCATAAAAGACGCACGGGTATGAATGCAAGAGGGGGTGGTAGGAAGTAAAGTTTACAAGGATAACGAGTATGCTTAATGACTGGATGATGACTTATAGGGGTTAAGAGAGATCAGTCAGTTGTACATCAGTAACTCTGTATATTTGTGCATGCCTGGAGACTTTGAAGAAGGACTGTGTTTTTATGTTACTATATTTGACAGTATAAAAGATGTATGGGTATATTAGACCCACCTCTATTTCAGCAGGGTATATCCAGAAAAGTTTTTAGTGCATTTAGGCATGTAATACTGAAATCAAGCTATCGATATGTTACAAATCACTATAAAAACACTTTAGCTATAGCATAAAAAATTGTCATAGGCTTAAAGGTAAAATTCTGTAAACTCCATCACCAGAGTTGATGTTATATCTACTGGAAGTAAATACTGCTTCATATCTGTGGCCTTAATGCTATTTTTCCAGAGTAGTGTTTTACCATTACATTATTTCCTTGTTGTCACAATTCTTTCTTCAGCTGTTTCCAGCTGGTTAATGGTCTGAGTGTATTGCAGTGGGGCATATTTAGTTAAGATAGATCAGCTAGTACTGACATATGTCACTGGTATTTTATTACAATAATTACTTTTACAATACTACTACTAATAATAATAATTTAAGAGTAGGAAAATACATATCAATATTGTAACCTTCCCCCATTCTGAAAAATGGTATGACCACAAATTAACACCAGTGCTAGAAAGTGAAAATGTTGGGGTGCCTTTGGCATTCACCATACTTACAAACCATACTAATAGACC